CTGAGGACGGAGCATGTTGGGTTTTTTTTTTAAACATGGTTTTGTGAGTCTTAGTGAGGGTGTGTTTCACTGCGATGGCAAAGCCGTGCTATTCTGGTTTAATGCTGTCATTTCATGCCCTCGCTGGATCGCAGCAGATAGTTTGCACCCGAGAGAGGGCAGAGATTATGTGTGTTTAAACGTGCGAGTGTGCATACGAGTCGTTTCGCCACAGTGTGTCTAAATGTGTGCTGCGGGGCAAAAAGCAGGATGATAGCAGAGAGGAGGGGAAATAAAATCGATGTGGGGGCATTTCAAAAGGCTTTGGAGATACCCCCCCCCCCCCCCCACACACACACACACACACAGCAGCTTCTATTGTCTAAATACTTACTGTCTTTGTCTGAATAGGTTTGGAGGAAAAGCATTTTCTTACAATGTTTGCAGAAACTAATAAAATTACATTTTCTGTGAAAACGCAGCCTGAATGGTGAAGACTGAATGACTTTGCTTAATTTTGCTGAATAAACCAAAACTAGTTGTTAAAGCTGAAAAGAAGCAGAATATTAGCTGAAACCTAAAATAGGAAAATTTCTAGCTAAAAGACAAACACATAAAAATGCTAGACAAAAACTGACAAACTCCAGCTAAATGCTAATTGTAGCACAATGATCGCTAAAAGAAAAGAAAATGCTGGTTAAAAGCTAAAAGTAGAAAATGACTAGAAGATGAAAACACTAACTCAAAGCAACAAAGGATTAGCTCAAAGCTACAAGAAGCTAAATGAAAGCTCAAAGTAACAAAATGCTAGCTAAAAACATAAAAAGCAAAACATAAAAATCAAAACGTAAGCAAAAATAAGCCAAACACAAGCTAAAAGCTAAAGATGCAATAGGTTAGCTAAAAGTTCAAACCTCAGACTAGCAAAATAGTAGCTAAAAGCTCAAAGTATGTAAAGACTAGCTAAAAGTTAAATAAAATTATTGTTAAAAAAAACAGAATTGTATAGTTAAAAGCTAATTATAGCACAATGATAGCTAAAATAAATAAAATACTGGTTAAAAACTAAAAGTAGAAAATGATTAGAAGAAGAAAACACCAACGCAAAGTTACAAGAAGCAAGAAGCTAAATAAAAGCTAAAAGTAACAAAATGCTAGCTAAAAACATCAAACGCAAAACCCAAGCAAAAATAAGCCAAACACAAGCTAAAACCTAAAGATGCAAGAGGTTAGCTAAAAGTTTAAAGCTCAGACTAGCAAAATAGTAGCTAAACGCTCAAAGTAGCAAAAGACTAGCTAAAAGTTAAGTAAAATTATTGTTAAAATAAAAAAAACAACCAGAATGGTAAAGTTAAAAGCTAATAGTTGCACAATGATAGCTAAAAGAAAAAACAATGCTGGTTAAAAGCTAAAAGTAGAAAATGACTATAAGATGAAAACACTAACTCTATAAGCAACAAAGGATTAGCTCAAAGCTACAAGAAGCAAGAAGCTAAATAAAAGCTAAATGTGACAAAATGCTAGCTAAAAACATAAAAAGCAAAATGTAAGTAAAAACAAGTCAAACACAAGCTAAAAGCTAAATATACAAGAGGCTAGCTAAAAGTTTAAACCTCAGACTAGCAAAATATTAGCTAAAAGCTCAAAGTAGCAAAAGACTAGCTAAAAAATAAGTACAATTATTGTTAAAATAAAAAAAACTGAAGCAAATGGTTACAGATAAAGGTATCAAAAGGCTAAAAGTAGCAGGATGTTTAGACTCTAAAAGTAAACAAAAATACTTAAAGCCAAAAATAGGGATGTGCTAGCTAAAAGCATAAAATAGAAAGTTAAAAGTAGCACAAAGATAATAGCAGCTAAACGCTAGCTCAAAGACAGAAAACTGCAGATTTCAAAGAGGACAACTATTTTGAAAGAATAAAAACAGTGTCAGTGTATTTCTATGAAAACAAAAGTTCATAAATGTAAATATTTTGATTTTAGTCTAAAAGTGCAAAAGTTAAAAACATCCACAACACCCAGTAAGCTGAACAATTTGAGATTTGCATGAATTAAACAGCATTAAATCCAGTTAGAGTGCAAGTTGACCCCACCCATCCTGAAAAATCTAAAAGGTGAAAACATTGATGCTAAATCAGCGCTCACGTTATCAGGAAGCTTTTGAAGCTTTTAGACAGCAAGTGTAAAAAGCTCACTTATCATCAGCGAAGAAGGGAACTCCAGTAAACTGCTTTACATTTTTATACAAAAGACCAGCGAGCAACTCCGACCCAAATGTTCGAAACCCTCCGAATGACGACGACACACAATTAACCAGGCGGCGTGCGGTGCCAGGAATCTCCTTCACAGTGCAGCTCTGTGATTAGTTTGAAGAGATGTTAAAACTCGATGAGAGCGGCTCCGCTGCAGGAGCAGACATTTTTATTTCGAGCCACTGGAACGGATTAACAAAGCCTGGTATGTGACATCTCAAAGGTCTCAAAAAGACTCGGAAGAAGGGAAAGCTCTCCCGTTTGGTGTTTAAAGAGTTTCGTTTTGTTGTAAAACCTTTGAATTCTCTCGGTGGACGTGTTTCTGAGTGTCTAGTTGAAAAAACAAGGAGCTTTGTGGAGTAAAAATAGATAAGAATCAGTGACAGGTCCGTGCAATAATTACCATGTGATGCTCTGTAAAATTATGGCTCCCGTCTCTCATGCAGGCGTTATATTTAACAAATACCTGTCACATAATTACGGCTGCAAACTGCTCGTTTCTTTCACATGCCGTAAAGACAAATATCAGCATTTTGCAGGACTATTTTTCTTTCCGTTCCTCACAGAAACCAAGGTTTAATTAGCTTTCAGGTCGTTTACACCTCACGTTAGGTCGTACTTTCTGAAGCACTAAATCGGATCCGTCTAGTTGTCTCAACCATTAGCTAGCAACTTCGTTGTTCTCTCATTATCATGTAATAATTCTCTGTAACTGCTTAACCCTGTGCAGGGTCATCGGTAGCTGGTGCCCGTCTCCAACATTGTCATTAAGTGTTGCAAACCCAGGGCAGGTCAGCAGTTCATCGCAGGGCCACACTCTCACACTTCTAGGGGATCATTTAGAGTTGCCAGTTACCAAACATGTGTTTTTGGTTTGTAGAACATGCAAAGTCCATTCAGAAAAACTCAGACTGAGATTCAAACCCTTGAAATGCAACAAAACCATCACCAAGTCAAGGTTTTTGTTTTACTTTAACATTATTTTAAAGCATCCCTATGTTTAAGTTTTCCTTCCGTCGAAGTCAGACTTTCTTTCAGGACAAAGTTCAGACAGAAGTTGGAGACAGCTGCAGTTCCTTAAAGAAATGAGAACGGCTCGCCACCTTTCATGCCAGAATTTTAAATATGGAACATCTTATGATAAGAAGGGGTTCAAGTTCAAGAATCTTTATTATACCCAAGGGGCAATTTGTTTCACAGTCAGATATAAAACATCCTAAACAAGACATTAAGTCATTAAAATAACAGAAATCATCATTGATGTGAAGCCTGATCTCCACAGGGATGAATGAGTTGTTCAGTCTGTTCGTTCTACGTCTGGGCAGCAGAAACCTGCGTCCACATGGAAGACACCTGAACTCACCATGGAGTGGTGATCAGGATCTGCCAGAATAAGAATGGCAATATAGCTATTTGTACTACAAGCTACCCTACCACATCCAATTTATCTATTTATATTTATCCATTTGACTGAGTTACAGTCTTTTTTATATTTTTTGGCTATGATCAGTTAGGTGGCAGCCATCTTGAAAAGGGTTGACTCCTAAAGTAATCAGTTTTAGATGTCCATCCAGTTATTACTTCCTGAGTTTCATTTAAATGAGCCCAGAGGATCGCTGGTTATTTTGCTAACAGACAGGCAAACAAACTCTACATCCACAGGTCTTCTACCTGAGAGCTGATCACCTGTGGGGGATTTGTTCACGTAAAATGTTGTAGTTTGACTTATTCTGTAGTCACATTATTTTAAATCTCTCTCAACCATTTGGTTATTAAAACTAAGCTTAAGTTAGTGTTTGGAAACAAACAGGTTTTAGTGAATTATTATTAAATACACGAGAGCTAGGGGTGCACCGATCGCAGTTTTTTGGCCGATGCCGATCACCGATTTCTCAAAAGTCGGACCTGCTCTTCTGATTTTGTCCGATATCGATCTTGTTTTATAAGCAACACTGTCAGGTGCTATAAGGTCATAATGCACTTTTAATTTTCCAATATTATTTTGTTGAAAAACACATCCTTGAACAATATCCTAGAAACAATACCAACTTAGTTTGAACTGGCCATGAGGTAGTGCTCTGAAATATAAATGAAGTTCAGACAATTGTGAATAAAACTAAAAAAATCAGCCGATTTCCGATTTCTCAAAATTAAGGAAATCGGGGCCGATTTATTGGTGCACCCCTAACGAGAGCTATAATGTTTAAAAACTAAATCCTGAGAGTGCACGTGTGAAAAGTAAAAGAGTTGACGTGAACCTGCAGACATTGTGGGTGAAAAAGACTTTTTGTCCCCTCAGAGTGATGGTGAACACAAAAACTCTGACTCTGCTCACAGGCAGCGCTGCATCACTCAGAGAGCGTGGGTGGACTGTGCGTCTGCGCCGTGATGGAAAAGCTTGTGATTTTTTTTTCTCCAGATATTAAAATGCTCCTATTCACAAAGAAGAAAAGAGGGGGATAAAAAGAGCGCACGTATGAACAAGAGCTTGTGTTGTGTCATCTCTGAATGTGGCTGAATGGTTTAAGCAGAGCTTCATAATGGTTATAATTATTGTGCACACCAATTACCTTAAATAAATGATTGCTCTCCCTTGCAATCACACAAAGTGTGTGTAATAATCAGGAAGGCAAATGGGTGTTCCTGTTCCTGTGCTTGCATAAGCCTCGTCGGTCCAACACCCTCGAATAGATAAAGATTCAGCTTACATGTACAGAAAGACAAACAAACGGCTCCTCGCAGCCACCGAGCCGCCCAGAGGTGTCTTACATTTGAGCTCCAGGCGGATGAAGTCAGTGTTGCCCAGGTTTTCCAGAAAGACGCCGTAGGGAGCGCTCGTCTTGAAATAAAATGAGATGTCAGCGCTGGTCTCTCCCTGAAAAGTGGGGAAATGCAGGTAGGATGACGGGGTGGTGAAGGATGCAGCGTTCCAGTAGTTATCTGTAAAAAGACAGAGAGAGAGAAATAAATATAAGAAAACTGTTCTCTCCAAGACTTTCAGCACCTTCCCTCCACAAATAATTTAATTAGACACCCTAATCTAATAAAAATAACCCATATATATATATATATAAATGTTATTTACACACAACTATAAATACATTTTATGCTCCTTCAAAGCCATTAACATATTCTTGTTTAAATATTCTCATATTTCTTGCCACCGAAGGCAAATATAAAGTAAAAAACATCAAAGTTCATGCTCAATAATCCAGGTAAAAAATCCAACAAAGTTATGTCAGGTCCTCTGGATGGTTTCTTTTTGTTGAAATGTTTCGTCTTTCATCCAAAGGACTTCATCAGTCCGAGGAGCCACAACAAACTCAGTCCCACAAGCAGCACACTCAAATAGTGGGTCAACCAGTTTGATGGTGATAAGATGGTTTCTGGAGTCCGCCCTCTCCCCCGTCGACTCCTCTGAGTCAGCCATGGTCAAAGTGGTTCAAAACATCAAAGTTCCTGCTCAATAATCCAGGTAAAAATCCAGGTACTCCGGATGTTTTTGTTTTTTGTTTAAATAGCTGTCTCAGAGGTGTCGACGGCGGAGAGGGTTGACTCCAGAAACCATCTTATCACCATCAAACTGGTTGGTTCACTATGTGAATGTGCTGCTTGTCAGACTGAGTTTGTTGTGGCTCGTCGGACTGATGAAGTCCTTTGGATAAAGGAAGAAACATTTCAACAACAGCAAACAAAAAATAACCATTCAAAGGACCTGATTTAACTTTGTTGGATAAAGTAATAAAGTGTTCAATATTTAAAATGATTAGATAATTAGGCTGTAAATGGGTTTTATTGGAACTTTCAGAAAAAAAAAAACATTTTGTGTACATCAACAACTGATTCACTTTTGGAGTTCAAGATGGCCGCCACATCAAAGGAATCCTAGCAAACCTGAACATGGCTGTAACTCAGTCAGTTTTTCAGATACTGAGTTAAGATTTTGCGTGGTAGTCGCTGAGAATAGTCTCCAGCACACAATCGTGCAACACCCTGTCAGAGGAATCTTTGGCGAAGGTCAAGGACGTTCATCACTAACTGATGTTAAATGAATGTTGAACCATGTGTGTGAGTTCAGAGAACTCTTTTCTCTCTCAGAGAGGAGCTCATTTGATCCTGCATGTACAGCTGGGAGGCCGAGGTCATCATGGACAGTCTGTGAGCTGTGATAGCTGCATGTATTATTTAAAAACAATTCTCGCACACTGTCCGGTGCAGATTCTTGTGACCGGGCTTCAGTGAGACATCTGTGTAAGTCTGTTGAGTGTGTCTGCCCTTAAACTAAAAAAAAACAAAAACAGTTAACTATCCTCTCGTGTCTTCGTGTGGCTTCTTTTAGTAATTGAGATGAACAGAGGGTAGTTTTAATCAACACACCCTAAACAACATGTTCACTTAAAACCTTGGCGTTAACTTTTGGAGTTTATATCTCACAAATCCCTGATTAGATTTAAATGAAACTCCCAGAAACTGATGGGCCGTTTGAGTCAAAGATGGCCGCCACTGCTAACTAATCTGATCCTGCTCAAAGAAAATGGATAAACCTCAGTTACTTTTACTGAGTGAAAGTTTGGTGTGGTCGTAGCTGAGTGATTCACAGCACACTGACTTCTAACAGATTTTAATAAAATAAAATTAATATTTCAGCTACAGCCCCAAATGTCAAATGAGTTGAAAAGGAGGTGCCGTGGATGCATTCCTGTTTCCTTGCATTCCTGTCTCCTGGCCTTGAATTGAATTATGGAAAATGTTGCATGAGTTTGCACAAATTATTTTCAAGCTTTCACCCAAGCAGCATTTTTTTTTAATTTAAATTTCTTAACATGTAATGGTTTCCGTTTAAAGTCTGGCGTGAAAGGCGGCGGGAGATGTGCATTCCTGTAAAGAAAGCTGAGCTTTAAATTATAGATTGGGTTTGACACATCCTGCAGCGTTTAATAGAAAGCTCAAAGATAGCAGATAATTGATTTTCTAAAAAAAATAAAAAATAAAGAGATGACAATGGGCCACAGACAAAAGGTTTGAGGATTTCTGATAACTTCACTAATGACGATGGAATGAATGGAAACCAGGAGCAGCTAATGAAGACAAAGTAGCAGCACGCTAAGCAGCTGCTGATGAACTATCAGACTGTGGTTGATGAAGTGACTCCCTCTACTGTCTCCTCTCTCCCCCTGTCTCACCCCCATCAGTCAGGGAAGATGAAGAGTAAAGTGAAGGAGGTAGAGGAGACAGCATGCTGAGGGGAGACACTGCGAGGAGCCAGCCGTGGCTGGGCGAGACGATCGAACATTGAACACTGGATGGAAAAGAGGAAAGTCGTAGAGGGGAGCAGGTGGAGAGGGGGTGAGATGAGGACCAGTGAAGGCCACCGGAAGAGACCATGGATGCCTCGGAGGATTGGCTTCAGACTCACACCTGGACAACAGCTGTGCACGGAGGAGAAGTGTGAGGGAGCGCAAGAACTGTCTGTGCCAAAGTGTTGGCTTGGTGCAGCTAATGATTAAATTAACCGTCCATGAATCTGTCAGTTTAAAAGGATGTCTGTCTCCGCAGTGGCCAAACGTTAAAGAACATGCGAATACAAGAAACTGCACTTCCTCCAAATCTGAAAAAGAACAAATTATTGATTTTTTAATAAAACTAGCGAAATTACATTTCCTGCAAAATGCAGTGAGAATGCTTATTGAATAACTTGCTGAAAAACAGCTGAAATTAGCTTAAAAACATGCTGAAATGCAGCTGAAATGGAAGAACTTAAGCCTACAGTAGCAGAACAAATGAGAAAGAACACATATTTGCAGAATTAGGTTTAAATAAGCAGAAAGGAGCACAAAAATTAGGAAATTAACAACAACAAAATAGCTGAATTTAGCAAAAAATAGCTGAAAAGTAGTGAAAAGGCTGAAAAAAGCTTATACTACCAGAAGGACGTGGAAGGAGTTGAAATGAGCTTAAAAAAAATGTGGAATTAACAGAAAAAGCTAAATTTAGCACATAAACAGCCAAATAGTAGCTGAAATTGTGGAAAAAAGCTGAATGGAGCACAACAAGCTGAAATTAGCAGGAAGAAGTTAATTGGCTGAAAGTAGCAGAAATTACCCCCCCCCCCCCCCCCCCAAAATTGAATGTATCTGAAAACAGCTGAAAATAGCTAAAAATGCTTAAAAAAGTAGCTGAAAAGGTAGAACAAGCTGAATTAAGCAGAAGAAAGCAAAAAGAACACATTTGCTGAAAGAAGCAAAAATGAGCACTAAAAGTGGAAATTATCTGAAAAAAAGCTGAAATGAGCAAAACAACAGCGGAAAAGTAGCTAAAAAAACAGAAAGTAGCTGAAATTACCTGAAGCAAGTGAAAAGAGCACATTTTTGCTGAATTACACTGAAAAAAGTTGAAATGAATGCAAAAATGTGGAATTAGCTGAAAAAGCTAAAATTAGCATAAAACAAATATTAGCTGAAATAGTAGCAAAAGCTGAACATTGCATAAATAAGCTGGTAGGAGCATAACAAGCTGAAATGAGCAGAGATAAGTTAGAAGAAGCACAAAAATGTTGTAGTTAGAATTTAAAAGGAGCACAGAACAGCTGAAAAACAGCTGTAATTAGCTAAAAATAGCTGAAAAAAGTTTTATTTTGCAGAAGGAAGCTGAAAGAAGCAGAACAAAATGTGAAAGGAGTTTAAAAAAGTTGTAAACACATCTAAAGATGTGAAGGATGTAAAATGAGCAAAATTAATTTTCCATGAGAGAAAAAAATGGCAGAAAAGGCTAAATATTTCAAAAAGCTAAAGTTGCACCAATACCAAAAGTCATAGCATTGACAGTAAGACAGTAAGAGCATCCAGATGTGCGTCTGTGCCTGGGAGTGCAGGTCTCCAGCTGAGTTGTGTGTCTCCTGGTTCTATGATGAACATCCTCCAACAGCAGCTCCTTCGTTCTCCATCCTGCTGCACATCCCTTCACCAGGAGCAAGGCAGACCATAGCAAGCACACACGACACACACACCGACACACACCAGCCCTCTGATGACGTCTTTTTGATACTGTAAGTGTTTGAAGCTGAAATTTTGTTTATTTCTACACAGCCGTTTCCTAAACGCAGCCACGTCAGGACCTAACAGGCGCCTGCACAGGATGCTGAAGCAAAACAATACGTATTCTCTCATTTCATGCAAAAAGAGAAAAACAGGTTCACATAACTGGTGACAGCAACAGGTGCATCCAACAGGAAAAGGTGCCATGCTTTGTGAAACTAGAACGGGGATTAATTTACAGACAAAAAAATAAAGCTCTGGAATGAAATGACACATTCACACACGAGGGTTTCCTCAAAAATCACACCCAAATACGAAGCTGAAGTGAAACAGTGTCGTGCAGTCGAGCACTTATTTGTATTCGCTAAAGGACAAGGAGGAGAGCAAAACTGCTCAAAAGGGCTCCGTGATGCGAGAACCAACGGAGTGACAGATATTTGGTTGATGGAAACCCAGAGTTGGACTGAAATCTGTTCGAGGAACATGCACCAATGCCAAACGATGAACCGCCGATTCCTCCTGTGCCAGTCGCAGATGTAACGGTTTGGCCGAGCGCAGCGGCACATTCATCACTCTCACATGGAAGTGTTGACCAAACAAACGTTTCCAACTCTGAAAAACCAATACCAGTCTGCTAATCACAATTTCTAACAATTCTCATATAAACCGAAGCTGCATTGTCTATTAAAAGATCATATTTAGAAATGGGGGCACAATTTATGCGTTGCAAGATATAACCTGGTTTACAATCAAGCTATTTGTGTGTAGAGTGTAGAAAGCTTAAAGTACAGACGGCTATTAAGAAAAGTACCGTTGGGGAAAAACACTGTTTTTGACATTTCCATCAAATCTTCTCTTGCGTGCCTTTGGACTCTGTGGGATGTGAACAACGTGGACTGGGACATT